GGGTCCTTCAAGTGCCGAAAAGCCCGACGGAGGGAAAAGGAAAGCGAGGAGAAAGACTGGCTGGCAGGTGATCGGGCGCCAGGCGCTGACTGAGAGAGCGGCCATACAATAGTGTTAACACCTCGCAAGCTGGGGTCAGGGCCTTGGGCCGGGCCAGGCCTGGGTGAAGCCCTGGCGATGTCCTCCACAGCAATGACGTCCTTTACCCCTCTTTCGAGCATTTTCGCCGATAGAGTTGTGTCCAATGTGTTTCTCAATGAACTCACGGGACCGTGTGCACACTAAAGTCCCTGTCCCTCGTCCCTGAGCTGGGGTGCTCCGCGTGTATGTGACAGTCCCAATCCTTGACCTCCCTGTATTGATTCGTCTTCCATATCGATCTCTGGTACATTACATTTTACCCGGTTCAAAAATCAATGCAACAGTGCTATCGCTTTTCCTTACCTGGTAGCGGTCCAGGGCGATGGCCGTGATTGAGATGGTGGACACAAAGATGCTGACGGCTTGCAGGGCGCCGAGGATCTTGCAGATGAACTCCTCGCGGCCGAGCGGCCAGTACTTGCAGAGGATCTCCATGAGAGTGAGCGGCATGGTGACGAGGCACAGCAGCAGGTCCGACACGGCCAGGTTCACGATGAACATGTTGCGGGCCGTGCGCATGGAGCGCTTCCTGGCCACGGCCCACACCACCAGGCCGTTGCCCGCCGCGCCGAAGCAGATGAGCACCGAGTACAGCACGACGAACGTGAAGAAGGCCGGGTCGTCGAGGCCGCGGTTGCGGTCGAAGCTGGAGAGGACGTCCGGATCCACGCCCTTGCTCGCGTTCAGGATCCACGACATGTTCTCCAGGATACCCATGTTGGTGGCCATGACACGTGGACGGCCGCCTGCGGGGGAGACAAAGAGAGAGCAAAAGTTAGTTAAATGGACAACTTTCAGTAACAACCGAAATAAAACAGAACATGGGTCCCGGACGTGGATGGCAAACTTTTGCACAAATACTGCCTGCCCCGCTGTCGATATGTGCGCCGTGTGTGCCGCTTATTGGGACCAGCTTGTCAGGGCCGCGGCCGCGCGGCTGGCGCTGCGGTGCCGGCCAACGGCAAACTTTGACCCTTATCCACTCCAAGTCAGTCGCACTGCAGCACAGTATACCGCCCTGCTGGCTGGGCTCAGTGGGATTGGACTCACTCTGGTGACCACTCGCGATTCAATTCCCCGTGTGTTTTCAATCGCCCCCCACAATCCCTCGGATGGTTTTTGCGAGTGCGCAGCGAGGGGGCGGCGGCCTGCTGGTCGGTCGCCGGGTCCTCCAGCTCTGCCCGGCTCTGCCCCTCAGCTGGCCCTTGCTGCTGGCCGTATGCCCTGCCGGCCCTGCCCCGGGCCCAATCCAATTCCTTGCGAAGCAAAGAGGGCCGCCGCACGGCAAAGGTGGCGAGGTGAAGCGACAAAAATAAAAACCCACCGCAGTACGAGAGAGAGAGAGAAAGAGAGAAAGAGAGAGAGAGAGAGAGAGAGAGAGAGAGAGAGAGAGAGAGAGAGAAGCGTAGATCACAGCAGGGGGTGAAAAGGTAGAAATCAAATCAATTTT